AATAGAGCATCCTTGATTGAAGGTAGGGAGTTGGTGACTTTAGTCGAGGAGCCAACTCACTATTCTGTACCGGATTTACTCCGGTAGTGGAGGTTTTGTTTGTTAAGGCCTCAATCTGTCTACTCCGGTGGAGGTTAGTCGCCCGCTAGAGACTCAGATTGAGAGGGTCTGAAGACCTTTAGTCGAGACTTCAGGCTGTTTGAGAACCTTCCGCAGTATAACTATCATAGAAACTGAACTTGGTAATTACAATCCGGCTTAACTGCAGTCTAGGGGGAACCATATCCGGGTGACCTCTCTTAACCTGAATACAACAGTTTACTTGCTTTGTTTGTTTGGTAGTTTAGACTTGCATTCCAGTTTCATTGCTAGATAACAAGAACTCACTGAGTAGTCATCAAATCTAGGACCCGGGTTGATAATTAAACCTAAACCCGCTATACTACGCTTTAGGAAGTGGTTTCACTTGGCCAATTCCTGGAGTGACAGTAGAGTCGAGTCAAGTTTTTGGCGCCGTTGCCGGGGACTGCTAGGTTGTTGAAGAAAAGTGATTTCTGTTAATTTAGCTTTTCTTTTCGCTTTGTTTGCTTTTTCCCACTTGTGCCTTCACGGGTTTGCTTGCTTGAGTGTGTGCAGGTAGTGCATGACCCGTAGCCAGTCAGGAGGTTTACTGCCGTTGAATCCAGAGATTGACCGCACCTGTCGCCAGCTCAGGAGACAACAGCGAGCTAGACTGGCTACGGAAGAGCGCATAGACGGCCACCTGAGTAGCGATTCTGAAGAAGAGTACAGGATGGACGGAGAGTACAATCAACACCAGGGGAATCTGCAGCAGGTTCCCCCGGTGAATCAGGTCCTGGGGAACAACCCCATACCCCAGGATCATGGAGTTCATCATCCACCGCAGCCGGGTCCCACCTTGGAGTACTACTACACTCCTCGGATTGCTGACATCCGCCCGGTCATCCTCTACCCGCCTATCCCAGTAAACAACTTCGAGATCAAGCCATGCGGGATTCAGCTCATTACATCCTCTATCCAGTTCCATGGCTTGAAGGATGAGGAGGCCAGGGTGCATCTTTCCCGTTTTCTGCAGCTGACGAACGGGTTCAAGCTAAATGGTGTCCCGGATGATGCAATCCGCCTTCATCTCTTCCCCCATTCTCTGGCGGGGAATGCTAAGAGGTGGTTGGAGACCCAGCCCCCATTGTCCATCACCTCTTGGGACGATCTGGCGGACAAGTTTGTGCATAGGTACTATCCGGCATCGAAGACCACAGAGATTCAGCGGGAGATCACTCACTTCCGCCAAGAGCCAGATGAGTCACTTCGTGATGCTTGGGAGAGGTATATGGGATACTTCTGGCAGTGTCCCCATCATGGCTTCAGTGATGCATTCACAGTGGGGAACTTCTATAGTGCTCTCTCCCCAGACAGCCAGAGGGTGATTGAGTCTTTATGCCCAGGAGGGGATGTTCTCACTAAGACTCCACCAGAGCTGAACCAGATGATTAATACTTTGGCTGCCAGAGATCATTCTTGGGGGCAGAGCAGCCGAGGCAGACATTCCCGGGACCGTGGTGTGCATGCCATGGAGTCCAGATCAAGACTCGAGCAGCAGGTAGCTGAGCTAGTGCAGACATTGAAGCAGCCCAACAGTCTGATTCCGGGCAGAGGTTTGGCTACACCTCTAGTAGCTCAATGTCAGTGGTGTGAGAGCTCCAATCACCTAGTGGAGGAATGCCAGGCTATGAGGGAGTCTACCACACCCCAGGAGCAGTTGGCCTTCATCGCCAATGCGCGGCGCCTCGATCCATACAGTAACACATATAATGAGGGGTGGCGCCAGCATCCCAATTTCGCCTGGAGCAGCAACACCACTAAACCACCTGGTTTCCCAGCACCAGCAGGTGGTTTTCAGCAGAGGCAGCCCTTCCAGGCTTGCCAGGGGCCAGACCCACAGCAGCAGCCCTACCAGCCTAGGCAAGGGCAGCCATTCCAGCAGCCCCAGCGCCAGTTTGCCGAGCCAGCAGCAGCTCCGGCCCCAGATGACAGGATGACGAAGCTGGAAAACATTCTAGCTTCATTCATGACCAGCACTCAGGCTGCTATCACGTCACTGGAGGCAGGTCAGCGGAACAAGGGTGCCATTTTGCAGGATCTGCAGACCCAGGTGGGCATCTTGGCCCGCCAAAACACTACCAGGGCACCGGGGACTCTGCCTGCCACCACTCTCCCGAATCCTCGGGATCCTCACCAGCTCCAGCAGCTTGATGCCATTTTTACCAGGAGCGGTAAGGCCATATCTGCTGATCCTGTCCCGGCCAGACAGGAGGAACCACTACCTGTTTCAGCACTTCCAAGCGACGATGCAGAAGTGCGGGTGGAGAAGGAAGCCCCTGCTCCTAAGCCACAACCACTGGTTAAGGAGAATGTACCCCAGCTTCCCTTCCCCACTCGCCTACACAAAGACAAGCTGGAGACTGAGTTTTCCAAGTTCATGGCAATGTTGAAGCAGCTCAACATCAGCATACCGTTCATGGAGGCACTGTCGAAGATGCCCAAGTACGCAAAGTTCATGAAAGATCTCTGCACCAACAAGAAGAAACTTGGGGATCTCTCGACAGTGATGCTGAGCGAGGAGTGTTCTGCTATCCTGCAGAACAAGCTGCCCGAGAAGCGCAAGGATCCAGGGAGTTTTACTATCCCTCTTACTATTGGCAGCATGCATGTAGGAAAGTCCTTGGCGGACCTAGGCGCTAGCATTAACGTCATGCCATATAAGTTGTTTAAGAAGCTAGACTTAGGTGAACTTAGCCCTACTAGGATGAGCATTCAGCTCGCTGACCGTTCCATTGTGCATCCTAGGGGTGTCATAGAGGATCTGCTTGTTAATGTTGGTACATTCACATATCCTGTTGATTTTGTTATTCTGGATGTAAATGAGGATGTGGATGTGCCTTTGATTCTAGGTAGGCCATTTCTTGCCACCGCCAAGGCACTTATTGATGTGCATGATGGTAAATTGATCTTGCGTGTTGGGGATGAACAAGCTACTTTTTCTGTGACTGAGTTTGATCACTGTGCTATGATTGCTGTCATGCCTGTGCATGCCATTTCTGATCAGGTACACGAGTCTGTCGTGTATCCTTCTGCACCTCCTATTTTGCAGGACCCTCCTATCATTCCTTCGCCGCCACTCCATCCAGCCTCGCCTCCGAACAAAAAGCTCAAGGAGGAGTGGCGGCCGAAGCAGCAGGTTGCTAAGCCTGCGCGGAAGAAGAGTGGAGACCACTATGAGCTGGTCCCACCTCCTGCACCACGACCACCCTGGCCGTCTGGGTACTCACTCGCCTGCATCTTGCCAGATGGGCAGGTCGAGCTGACTGATGATGGTGGTCGCATCCGTCGGGTGCATGGCCACAACCTGAAGCTGTACCTCAAGAGCGACGTGGATCCGCTCTTGGAGGCACCTGTTCCTGCACCGCCCTGAGTATCCACCATGGGCGTCCAGCTAAAAGACGGTAAAGAAGCGCTTGTGGGGAGGCAACCCCACCACGGTTTGATTTTCTTTCTTGTGTTTTGAGTCGGATTGTAACCCGGTTTGGGTTTGGTTTGTTTTCTTTTGGTTTGGATGATATTTTATTGGGCTGACCATTGAACCTAACATACTGCGTTTGAGCTCTGTGGTTTTCTTTGGCTGTGCTTGGCTCGACTGGTCCGCTTCCAGTCCCCTGCAGTCCGTGCATCCCGGTAACATCTTTCCCTTTCCCTTCCCTCTTCTCCATTGAGGGCAATGTCGATCTTAAGTGTGGGGGGATGTTTATCTTTTGACTGCATTAGATCTGTTTGTGTGCTTGGAGCCTAGTCCACTGTCCAAATCTCGAGATTTGAGGGCTCCAAGCACGGCTGTTTGCTTGATGATTGATCATATTGGCACGGTGGATGTGATTAGAGAATTGAATGGCTTTTGACTTGATACATGACAACTTGAGTGTGGCTTAGACAACTTATTGTGATGACTGAGATGTGCAGTAGAATTGTGTAGAAGTTCAGTTTCTCAACTATTTGCCCACCAAATGTGACTTGGTTTGATCACTTGCTTTTGACAGTCAGTTATGCATCTAGTTCAGGGAATCAGAACGAGAGATAGAGCATATAGGTAGCCATGTGAGATTTGAGCCTGCTCGTTTCTTTCTTGTGCGAAAGTTTCCTCTTCCATGATGTGCAGCAGCATTCACGTTGTCATTAGCTAAGATGATGGAGGCATAGGATTAGCCCACGAACAAATTGACTGTCCCAGTGTGTCATACCCCCTAGTCAGCCCCTTTGAGCCGTGTGTTATCCTTTCTTTTGGTCTGAAATGAAAAATATCACCCTTTGCATCTTTTAGAAGGTTCCACAGAGTGGTTTTTACATATTCTCTGCTGTTTCTGCTAAACGTAATGTGAGGGTTGGAGGTAGTGCTTAAAAGTTGGGCAGGTGTTTGAAATTGTGCAGAGGTGGTGGTTCTCTTAAGAAATGGAAAATAATGAAAGAAAATCAAAGAAAAAAATGAAAGCAAAAGAGAGCCACCACTAAAAATCTGAATAACGCCCATGTAGTAGTGTTTCTTAGCAGTCTGGCTTAGAAATACTAGCATTTATGTAACCTCCTTCGCTCTTGTGTTCTGAATTTGAGTAATGCAGAATAGCAGAAAGAAAGTTTCTGGTCTAATTGATTGTGAGTCTGTTGGGTTTGGAAATGTGGAACCTTGTGCTGTATGAATACTTCCACCACCTAAAAGGCTTTTTCCGCATGTCCAAGACCCTAACCAGTCATCTGAACCTGTGTCTAAGACCTCCGGATTAGTTAGTGATGACACCCCATTTGTGAACTCTAGCACTTAGAGGCTGCATTCATGAAGAAGAGATATTAGGGATTGAGAGATTGAGCATGCGCATTTTTCGCATCATATTGCCCTGACCCCACTGGTCGAGAGTGAGCGATTCATTTTCTCTTATTCTTTATACTCTTTATCCCGGTGTGGACCTAGATTGCTCGGTCTTACTTCTGATACCTTGAATTTTGTGCATGATGTGACTGTTTTGAACAAGTGGTTGAGTTAAGTCTATGTTGGTTGGTGAACAGAAGGGAAACTCTTCCTTTGCTCGATTTTTGCTGCATTCGAATGTCATCAGTGGTGGTTGTCTAGGTTGTCATTGAAGTTGTCCATGTGTTACTGATCGAAAGCCAGTATGATCCACGTGTTTTGTGCCGATATGTCATGCCTTGTTGTTTTGAGCTTACCTTGTGTTTGACTTGGTTTGCTTGGGGACAAGCAAACGGTTAAGTGTGGGGGAGTTTGATAGACCGTTAGTTACACATGTTTTCACCCCTGTTCTTACACCGTTTGAGATGTGGTTTCTCGTGTTTTAGACCGATTTCACGCCAGGTTGTGCTTGTTTGTGATATTTCAGGTCCTGGCAAGTGAATGAAGGTTTAGGAGCGAGTTCGGGGTCGATTGGGCGAAGATCGGGCGCGAGACAAGTCACAAAGGAGGTCACACGGGCTGCCCTGATGTTCACACGGCCGTGTGAAGGAGTGGTTTGGCCGTGTGACATTCTGCGAGAGCAGACACGGGCAGAGCAGAAGATCGACACGGCCGTGCAAGTGGCCGGGTTGGCCGTGCCACATTCTGCGAGAGCAACCACGGGAGAGAGGGGATGTCCACACGGCCGTGCCACTCTGGCCGTGCAAAGAGCCTGAAATTCAACTAAATGATACGCAGTGTTTTGACTCACACGGGCAACTGGGTGAGCTGCACGGCCGTGCCACCCTGGCCGTGTGAGTCGGGATTTTCTCCTTTTAAGTAGAATTTCAGCCACAATTCGAGAGGATTCGGGTTTTAGAGAAAGAGAGCGATTTCTAGAGAGAGAAAGCGACGAACAAGAGTCTCCAAGTGCCTTAGATTGATCTTCAACACCATTGGAGGCCAGCTTGAGCTTGGAGAAGTGCCAATCAACGTCCAGAAGCAGGAATCCATCCTTCGCAGTATGAATTCCGCATCTGATTCTGCTTTTGCTTCTTTCTCCATGGAGTAGTTCTCCCATTCATCTGGGTATGGAGAACCCTAGATTTGTATGTTAGGCTTTGATTGTATGAACCCAAGTACTGATTCTATGATTTGATTATATTCAATTGAGGTTTGAATGATTGAATGACTTGAATCCTGATCAAATTCCTGTTGTTTCTGCTTTAACCTAGAATGAGAATATCTGCCTAGGTTAATAGAGCATCCTTGATTGAAGGTAGGGAGTTGGTGACTTTAGTCGAGGAGCCAACTCACTATTCTGTACCGGATTTACTCCGGTAGTGGAGGTTTTGTTTGTTAAGGCCTCAATCTGTCTACTCCGGTGGAGGTTAGTCGCCCGCTAGAGACTCAGATTGAGAGGGTCTGAAGACCTTTAGTCGAGACTTCAGGCTGTTTGAGAACCTTCCGCAGTATAACTATCATAGAAACTGAACTTGGTAATTACAATCCGGCTTAACTGCAGTCTAGGGGGAACCATATCTGGGTGACCTCTCTTAACCTGAATACAACAGTTTACTTGCTTTGTTTGTTTGGTAGTTTAGACTTGCATTCCAGTTTCATTGCTAGATAACAAGAACTCACTGAGTAGTCATCAAATCTATGGCCCGGGTTGATAATTAAACCTAAACCCGCTATACTACGCTTTAGGAAGTGGTTTCACTTGGCCAATTCCTGGAGTGACAGTAGAGTCGAGTCAACGACCCTTAGACACACGGCTCAAGGGGGTTGACTAAGGGATGATATGATCGGGTCGGTCAACATTTGGGTCGTGGACTAACTAGGTTCTCAATCATTCATTATAATTCCCTAAACTCGATGCATAGGCAACTGTGAAAAGCAAGTAATTGATTCAAAACATCTACCGGTTAACAAACACATAAGAAATGAACCTATGCGCCAACCTAATACATGTCTCAATCATCATCGTAGGTTGCACACCATGACAAGCAAATAATCCATAGAGAATGCTAATAACCGCGATATTCAAAACAAATCACCACAAGATGCCACTATGATCATGCAAATGTAGAAGTTATTATCCTTGGAGCCCTCAAAATTTTAAAACTTGGGCGTACATCTAGGCTCCAAAGCATTGGAAACCACACCAAACAGTCACACACACATGCATAATACACTGCCCCCCCCCCACGCTTAAGCTCGACATTGCCCTCATTGGCGTGAAATCAGGGGTAGAATTATGTTACAGGATAGGGGTGAATGTTGGTGTTCAGGAGCGGAGGGCGGGTGAGATCCAAAAGAGCAAGGAGACGGCAAAACACCACCAAAATCTCTCCATTGGTCATCTTATTGAAAGGAAAAGAGATGCACCGTTGATAGCTGGGTTGCCTCCCACCAAACGCTTCATTAACGCCGCGAGCCAAAAGGTTGTTCCTCAAGTTTTAGTCCACCCAAGAACCACCTTGAAGTTGAGGTTCTCTTTGGTGAGGTGATGCCTCAAGTCATGAACATTGGATGAGTCCATGATTGAGGGCTCGTGAACTTGAGTAGCGTTGAGGCTCCACCCAAGAGACCTCTTCTTCTTTCCTTCTTCCCTCTTCTCTTTGCCCCATACCATGTAGTGCATCATCGATTTACCACCATCGCATCCACCAAGAGGGATCGCCGATGGTTTGGCCTTGGCTTGGCAAAGAGCCGCAAATGGGTCCTTCTCCAAAAGCGCGTCGAGGTTGGGTGGAAAGCTTTCATAGCCCTCGTAACTTGTGGATGCTTCATCCACCACGACCTTGTCCTAATCTTGGACTCCACTTGCATCTTCTTTTTCATCTTCAACCTCCCTTCCTTCTTCTAAATTTCATTCCTCCCAATGGGAACACCCAAGATCTTCCTCCTCTTCAATGCTCACTTCCTTTTCGTCAAACACTTCTTCCTCCTTCCCATTCATGTCTTCAAGCACGGTTTGGAGGGCAAGATGCCATGCAAGATCATAGAAGGGATTCTCTTGCTCCTCCGCACTCGTGTCTTGGTCTTCAAAGTTGGTTTCGAGAAGGGTAAGATGATGGGAGTCGTCAATGCAACCTTCTTGTTCATCCTCACCATGAGAGCTCCCCGGGGTGATTTCCTCTAGCTCTACATGGTTGTCATTGAGCGCCCCTTCAACCTCCTCTTTCTCCTCCAACAATGAGAGGCAATAGCTTTCACAAGCTCGTGCCACCTTCTCTTCTAGTGTCAAACCGGGAGGAGGGAGGGGTTGGAAAGCCATGTCAGAGCTCGTTCTTCCAAAATTCTCATGGCTCGCCTCTTCGACTTCCTCTCTTTATTCCAATGGTAGGAGGCGATTGTGAGCAAGTTGTGCACATGCTTGCTCTTCAAGCCCTCCTAGCCTCTCCGTGAGTCGAAGAAACTCAACCGCTTCCTGAAGAAAGGTTGAGTAGATAGGGTTGGCGATAGGGAGGTCCACGCTAGAGCACCCTTCATTGGTGCCCCGAACAAATCGATCCACCATGAACTATAATTTTCTCTTTGGCTTCGATTGTGGAGTAGCACATGGTCTTGATGATTGTCACATGAAGGCTTCCATGGCCAACTCCAACTTGGATTTCTCTTCGGGTTGTGGAGGAAAATCTTCTTGATATGGGGAAGCCTCTTCATACCCCCAATGGTATGGTTGTTCTTCTTGGAAGGGGGGTTGGTAATAGAACCCAAATCCTTGGCTTCCCCCTTCTAGTTCACTCCATGAAACTCCGGGGGTACCCCCATTCGGGTGGTTGTGGATACCCCACCTATTGTAGAACCCATTGGGATCCATGATTTATAACCTACACAAACAAAAACACAAAAACAAAATCAAACAAACACAAACCATCCTTCTAAGAGAAGAGTGGGTAAACAAAACAAAACAAAACAAAATACAACATAAAACGACTAAATTAACGACCTAACCCTTTTTCAAATAACCTAGAATGGTTCCCCGACAATGGCGCCAAAAACTTGAATCGTTCTAACTAGAAAATCTCAATCGACGGCAAAGTATAACCGCTGACCGGGTGTAGAATAGGGCAAGCAAGCAATAAGAATTTACCGTACCACGGGGATCTAGGCTTACCCTACTTCAGGTAAGGGTTCGTTATCTAGCCAACCTAGTATGGTGATTAGAAGAATTAAACAAAGTAACCTAGCTAACCACTAACCTAGCTATTTACAAGGTTGGTGCTCTCTTGGGTTAAATCCCCCTATTTCCGACCTTTGGATCGATGTTGAGTAGTGCTCTATTCAACCTAGGGAATCGTATATTGTTAGGAGACCGGTCGAATCAATTCCATCGGTGACTACCTGGAAAATATACAATTGGAGTGACCCGAAGATGCCAAGGAAGGGGCTCTAAGGGGATTACCCCACTCCTAGGTCAAAATCTCAAAGCATGAAAATAGAAACCACACTTATGCCATTCAAGAGACATCCATCAATTAAGTAAAATCAACAATCAAACTAGGGATTTTGTCACATACATCAACAGCAAACCCAAAAATAGACCAAGGGTTCTTAAACCCAAGAGAAGAGGGTGAGTTTCTAGAGAGAGAGGGGAGATTACAAAGAAACCTCACTCGTCTCGAATACAACAATAATTTCCTGCCTAAGGTCCAAGTATAAACCTTAGTAGGGTGCAGTACAGGATAAGTATGTTTAAATATCAACCCGGGCTGGTCCGTGTACCCCTACTTCAGTCATTTGAATCATTATCTAGCAACAAAGTTTTGGTCGAAAGGTTTGCTAATTAAAATAAAATAAGGCAAAGGTAAATGGTTTTGATAGCTCTTTGTGAGAAGGATCACTCGGGTGTTGCTTTCCCCTAACTACTGCCAGGTATGTGAATTGAAACCATTGCTAGGTAACTGCGAACCACAGAGGGATGCAAATATGGTCGTAGACCACACTCTTGATTGCTAAATCGAGGTATGCATTATAAGCCGTGTCACTCGGCCCTCTCGGTTTAGGCAATCGGTGGTTGACTTACTCCCTCACTCAATTCAAGGGTTGGATGGCTTAATCGCGCTTAACTAATTTGGTTAATTCAACATTGAGGTTTGCACTAAATTAACCTAAATAGGAGGCTTGAAAAGCTAAAGGAAAACCAACTCGATTGAGCCTCCCTTGGAAGGGGGATTTGCCTCTCTAATATATGTTAAAGTGGCTAATTATATTGATAAGCACAAACATGCACAAACCTAAGGATGATAGGCACAATTATGCACAATTCTTAGGTTGCTAAGCACCAACATGCACAAACTTAAGGATTCTAATCACAAAACATGCATAATCCTTAGATTGCTAAGCAAAAGCATCCACAATCACATGAATAATACCTCAATCATTGAATTAAACAATACCCAATGACAATCATTCAATTCACATAAAAGAAACTATATGGTAGCTAGTTAGGGTTTCACAAAACCCAAGCGAAAAGAAATCTACTCCATGCTAGAAATGGGAGAAACACAAGGAGAAGAGGTAGAAACCATCTTGAGAGAGGCTTCCAATATTCTAGATCCTTGTGTTGAACTTCTCTTGAGGAGAATCTTCCCAAATCCCACCTTGGAGCGAAACCCTAGACTCCTTCTCCTTTGGTTCGTCTTTCTCTCTCTAAAAATATGAAGAAGGCTTTCTCACACAATGGGCTCTCCCTCTCTCTTCCTTTTAGCTCAGATTTTAAACAGTGAACGAGCTCAATTCACGAGCTCAGTTCACGGCCGTGAACTCTGAAACCCGTCCGGGAACTGAAGATGGGCCCCGAAACGCACGCTTTGCTTCCTTGGGTTCACGGCCAACAGCTCATGTTCCCGGTCTTAGCGACCGTGAACTCAATTAGCGTCAGTAACTTGCATTTTGGCCCTGGACGCTTCAACGTTCACAGCCAACGGCTCTTCTTCACGGTCATACAAGACCGTGAACATCCAAGGAAAATCGTGAACTCGCCGTTTTTCACCTCTTCTCCTGGTTTTCGATCCTTTTCGCCAATCCTTCGACTTTGAGGCTGGTTCCACCTGTTAAATCCTGAAAAGCACTCAAACACGAAGAACCTCGCGTAAACCACCCTTTTAGGAGCGAAATTGCCACAAACGCCTAAGGAAAACGGGGGTAAGACATGTACAATTAGGCCCAAATCACTCCCCCACACTTAGATGTTTGCTTGTCCCCAACAAACCATCTCACACAAGGTAATATTTCAACCTACACAAATACTTTGGGGACAACTCAAAGGGCACAAAGTGGGAATTCTCAATGGCTATTGGCGATTAACTCATGGACCG